CCAGGCACAGTGGCACATGCCTTTAATCCCAGGACTCCGGAGGCAGAGATAGGTGGAACTCCTTGAGTTCAAGACCAGCCTGGCCTGCAAAGTGAGTTCCAAGACAGCCAAGGCTACACAGAGAACCCTTTCTCAAAAAGCAATAATAATAATAATAATAATAATAATAATAATAATAATAATAATAATAAATCTTGAAAATCTACAAATATCACAAGACCCTTTATGTGTACCAAATCTTAGTACTATTATTTTATTTTGTTTATTTTAATGTGTAATTATTTATACAATAATGATGCCTAGTGTGATATTTCATTTCTTGCCTATAGTGTGCAATGATTGCATCTGTCCTCTTTTATCCACTCCCACTACGTTTCAACTTTAAATAATGACTATTTTATAATTAGGAAACTGGTTTATTATTTACATGTGTGAAAAGTAACATGCAGTATTCCTATACCTGGCTTATTTCACATAACATGGTGTGTTTCTAGTTCCATCTATTTTTGTTTCAAATACAAGGGTATTCTTCTTCTTCATGACTGAGTAACATTCCATTGTATTAGGTAAACATATTTCTTTTATCAATTCACTCACTGCAAACACAGATGGATCTTCCACATACTGAATTTATCCTCTCTCTCTCTCTCTCTCTCTCTCTCTCTCTCTCTCTCTCTCTCTCTGTGTGTGTGTGTGTGTGTCTGTCTGTCTGTCTGTCTGTCTCTCTCTCTGTCTCTTTGTGTGTGTGTGTGTGTGTGTGTGTGTGTGTGTGTGTGTGTGTGTTTGGCACGTATATACTCAGTTATGGGATAGTTGGATCATATGATTGATCAGTCTGTTTTTTCCATAGTGATAGCAATTATGTACATTCCTAACATCAGCATATGGACATTCCTTTGTCTCTACATCTCACCAGTATTTTCTATTTTCTCATTTCTTATAATAGCCATTCTGACTAGAGTAGTATGCTCTAACTCTTTTGACTTGTATGTCCATGATAGATAATGATGCTGAGCATTTGTCCAGTTGGCCATTTGTATTTCTTTGGAATTGTTTCCACTTAAATCATTTGCCCAGTTTAATTGGATTGCTTAATTTTCATTGTTCATGTTTAGCTCCTCATACACTCTGGATAGTGAGCCCTCATGAGATGAAGGGTTAGCAGGTGTTTTCTCCCACCTGAACATTCTCTTCATGTTCCTGACTGCTTTCTGGGCTGTGCGGAAGCTTTTCAGTCTAACGAGTCCGAGGCTCTGTCTGCCTACAATGGCTTTTGTTCCCTGTGCTTTGGGGTTATAGCCAGAGCATTGTCATCCACACCAACATGCTGAAGCATCTCCCCTGTGTTTTCCTCTAGGAGCTTCTGAGTTTGGGGTCTCACATTTTTGATCCACATCATAGATTTTGTGAACTCAACACAAGCTTAGACACACCCAGGAGGAGAGACTCTCAATTGAGGAACTGCCTCCATCAGATTGGCTTGTGGTCATGTCTCTGGAGTTTTTTCCTGATTGCTCATTGGTGGGAGTATTGAAAATCTCAGACTTCTGTGGGTGGAGCCTACTCTGGACAGGTTGCCCCTGGGCTGTGTAAGAAAGGTAGCTGAGTGAGCTACAGGGAGCAAGCAAGAAAGCAACACTCCCCCATGGCCTCTGCTGCAGTTCCTGCCTCCAGGCTCCTGCTGAGGTCCTTCCCAGGCCACTTCTGATGGTAAACTCTAACCTGTAAGACATGATAAACCCTTTCGGCCCTGAGTAACTTCTGGTCATCACAGCAGCAGGAAGCCAACGAGGACAGACTATCTGGCATTGATTCGTCTCCAGGGGAAGATACTGGAGTCAGGTTTCAATACTCCGAATACCCCAGTTTCCCCAGAACCATTATTAATAACATTGATTCATGGGGCCATTTTGTGGACTTGCTGTATCAGAAGGACATGTCAGTTTCTTGTCCATAGCCATGGGTTTTCCCCTAACCTCCATGTTACAAATACCCTGTTCATCTCATCAGATTTGACATAGCTCTCTGATGATGTGTTTTCTCTTCCAATAGCCTTCCTAAACTTGTCTTTAGCACCTGCTGCTCACAGGGAACCAGAGGAGCCAGAACACAAGAGGTCAAAGAGGATGGGGCTATCACTTTTTTCTTTTTGAGATTTTTCTGGGAAAACACTCTTGAAAGATAAACATGCCAACAAATACCTCTTGACTTTTTTAAAAAGATGTATTTGATTTTTAAATGTGTGTATCTGTGTGCTTGCATGGAGGTGCCCAGGGAGGCCAGAGATCTCCGATGCCCTTGGAGCTGGAGTTGCAGGCAGTTGTGAGCCGTTTACCGTGGGGGCTGCGACTAGAACTGGAAGAGCAGAAGTGCTTGGAACTTTCCATCCTTCCCTCAGCCCTACCTGTTTCATCTGTGAAAACACAGAAAACTTTACTACTCACAAATTACATTTACATCATTATTATTTAACACTTTAAAAAACAAGGAGAATATCAAAAATTTTAAAAAAAAAAGCAAAGTAGATGCTGTAGGCAGAAATGCTTGTGGAACCATGAGAAAGGTCCTGTTTGGTGGGGTCATACTTGTGATGAACATCACATCTCATAGCCCTTACCCTGGCCATGTTTGTTCATGGAGCTGTTCTCTAAGCTAACATAAAGTTATCACTGGACTCATAAAACAGGCATGGGGGCGTGGAGCGCAGAAGCCATTCAAAGATGCCCTCTCTATTTGCAGAGAACGTGCACTCTAACAAGGAAAGATAGCGGTACAGTTGAAACTGTTTCAGAAGTGGGATAGAAAGGCTGGCAAAGGGTGGCTGAACCAGCTTGCCCTTGCGACCTCTAGCTTTCACTCTTGGATGTCCCTTTCCATTTTCTCTGAGTTCTTATGCTTTATTAGCTTGGCATCTTCCTATAAGCTTTTATCAAAGCTATATGATTTGGGGACGGCTTAGATCTTTAGTCATATTGCCTCATCTAAAAATCAGGTAAATATCAAAATTATGTAAATCCTCCCTAGCAACCAAATGGAAGATTACAATCAAATAAGTACCTGGATCTTATCGCTGGGTCCATAAGGAGACACAAAAGGCCCAGCGGCTGGATGTCAAGCAGCTCCGGCTTCCTCAGGCCGCTGCTTCCTCGGAGAACCCAGACCAGCACTCCAGTCCTGAACGAATCTGAGGGCTGACTCCTCCATTCACTCAGCAAGCATCTACTGTGTGCCATCACCATTGGCAGGATAGACTCACAGGTGAAGCGGGGGCCTGGCTCTTTTGGCAATTGTGCCATAGCAAGAAAGGCAAGAAAAAGATGCCTAGAGCACCAAAGACACAGAACGCTGTGCAAGGAAAGAACTATTTCAGGAGATGAAAGGGACTGGTGTATTATTTAGAGTAGTGGAAATCTGTAAAGAAAAAAATACAGAACGCGAGCAATCTGCATGAAGTGACAGGATAAGGTGGGAACAAATCTGCAGGAAGAATCATGCCCCCAGGTATAAAATGTGTGAGCATGCAGCTGGAAGGGCGTGGAAAGCACACATACTAACCACAGAGTAGGAACCGTAAATCAGCCTGTGATCTGACTGTTGACAAAGCACTAGTCTCCTAATTTTTTTTTTTTTTGAGAACGCTTTGGTATTGTTTGAATTTTCTCAAGAATCGAAGAAAGACCTTGTAAGCCTCAATATACTTCTTGTTGAGTGCTGCAGAGCCTTAATGTTACTCTGCTGATATGAAATACTACCTGGCATCCCATTTCATCTTCTCATATAAGCTACATGCTATAGTGATTCCCCATTTTACAGATCAGTAGACCAAGGCAAAGAGAAGTTAGGTAACTTGGCCAAGGTCATCAGCCACAGAGCAGTGACATATAACCATGGACAACTTCTGTCATAAATAGATCAAGCCATTCTTTGTTCCCTCTGAGGCCTTGCTGGGGAACTGCTGAGCCGTGTTCCTTTATAAATGCTGTGGAAGTAAATAAGGGCTACGCCCTCACTGAAATCTCCTCGATCTGTGTGTAAAGACAAAAGCAGTGCATCCAGCAGAAGAACAATGTGCCCCACGAATACACCTGGGGGAAACGTGCAGCGGGTTTTGTTTGTTTGTTTGTTTGTTTTTCTTAAAAGTGCAAGCTGGTGTTAACAAGAACTGAATATGGCTTGAGGCTGGACAAGAGGCATCCAACCATCCTTTCAAGTGTTTTCTCTCCTCTTCATGTGGGGGTGGTCACGGGAGCTGGGGTGGTTAGTCTGGAGAAGGAAAGACTCAGAGGGATTTGGTAACTGTCTACAAATATTTATAGAACGAGTAATGTGGAAAGGAAATTAGATTGGTTCAATGGGTCCCCAAGGGGGGAAGCGACAGGAATGTCTCACCACAATGCAAGGAAGGACTTTGAAACAAAATGAGGAGGAACCCTGGCACTCTTCAAGGTGGAACCAGCTATTCGGGATGTAGATGTTCCGGTGCAAAAAGTGGGACAGTTTTAATAACATCTTGTAGGGGGGATCTGAGAAGGATGAATTTATTAATCATAAATTTTGAAGTATCTCTGATGGCTGAGCATTCAGAAACTTTTGATCAGCATAACTGTTCAGGAAGTTTATGCCGGGATGATTGACTTGCCTGGCCTATGTAGGGGTGTGGGTTCCTGCCTGACCTGTGTGAGGTTCTGGGTTCCTGCCTGGCCTGTGTGAGGTTTTGGGTTCCTGCCTGGCCAATGTGGAACTGTGGGTTCCTGCCTGGCCTGTGTGTGGCTGTGGGTTCCATTCTGGCCTGTGTGAGGCTATGGGTTCCATTCTGGCCTGTGTGTGGCTGTGGGTTCCTCCCTGGCCTATGTGGGACTGTGGGTTCCAGTCTGACCCATGTGAGGCTACAGGTTCCTGCCTTGCAGAGCACATCTACAAATCTGCATGTAACTTCCGGTGCTCAATTGTTAATGAATAACCCTCTCAAGCTGTGCTTTATTTTCTGTTGGCTCCTCTAGGTCTTCAGCCATACACAACCTACAGCTTCACACTTGCAGCTTGTACATCTGCCGGATGTACTTCCAGTGAGCCCTCTGTAGGTCAGACCCTGCAGGCTGCCCCTCAAGGTAACCAGGACAAATCTGTGGTTTGGAGAAAATGTTTGTATGTGCTATTTTAATTCACTTTATAAGCTTTTTGTAGCAAACAAGGCAGGAAGAATAAAATTGACAGAATAAAATAAAATAATATTCTATGTCTCCTTCTCCTACAGGCTTGAGTAAACCATACACAGCCACGCACAGTAAATTACTTTAAGTTCTTTAAGTCCTTGAGATTTGCTTTTTTGTAGGGAAAAATACATACCTGGATATGAAGCTCCTCAAAATCTCAATCATTAAACCTTTTAACAGTGAGTAAGTAGCTGAAGCCAATGAAATCAGCCTCTGCCTTCAAAAAATTCAAACCAAATCAGAATGATAGTAATATAATTACTAGGTATATATGCAAAGAATATACTGAAGGAGATATTAAGAACTATCACAGACATAAAGATTTTATGGTGCAGATAGGCTGTGGTGGACCCCAAGAAACAGGGATTTTATAACACACACACACACACACACACACACACACACACACACACACACACACACAATGGATGAGATATCCCACCAGGCTGTTTGAAGAAATGTACAGAGAGATCCACCCCCCCTCTTTAGAAGACAAATTGGTATTGTCGGTTAAATTCAAAATCTTAATTCCTTAACACAGTTAAGTTTTCATTATTTATGCCTGAAACTCATCCACATGCACAGAAGGGGACCTGTGTCAGGATGCCTGTGGAAGCATCATTTTGCTTAATGCCAAATGTGGAGAACAATTTAAATATTGTTGAGAAGGAGAATTGCTAAATGAAATCACATTGTAGGAATAAAGTGATCTGTTCCTATAAGGATGCTGGAGAGCTATGTTAACCGCTTTCTGTGTGAAAATGGTGGCAGATGACTCCACTCATTTCTAGTCATAAATACACAATACACGTGGAAAAAAATCTGGAATTACCAACCCTGTGATGACAATGAGTCTCTGAGGTTTGGGACCTGGGGTGTGTGATGCCCTTTTCTTTATGGAAGAAAAACATGCTTAGTAGGCTATTGTAGGGATCCACTATTTGTTAACCTTTCTTATTGGCCTGTTTTACATATGGAGAAATCAAAGCATACATACATAAGTATCTAAAGAGGATCGTGGAGTCAGTTGCCGTGATAGAGTCCCAAACCACTTGTTCATTACTTTTCTACTGAAAGGACTGTTGTACCTTGGAATATTAGATCTAAACTTCCTACCAGCAAATGGGGAATAAAATGGAAAATTCCACATATGGGGCATATGGCTCCTCGCTAGGAGCTCACTAATGATGTTCTCTATATAAAGAATGCTTCATGTCAGAGAGCTTGGTGTTCTATGAAAGGAAGGAAGCAGCAGTGGATTTTTTGGAAAGGTAAACCATCAAATGGATACTCTGATGATAATGGGTGATCTCTAAAGATGTTACCAACCTGTTTTGGCTAAAACTCAAGCCTGATAAAGTAGGGAGTCTCTAGTATTGGTTCATCAACCAAACCCACATTCTTAAGTTATTTTCTAAATGTATCTGTTTTCCCACTTCCCCTTATAAAATGTTTGAAAGGGTTTAGATCTCATGCCTTGAAAAATATAACTTTAAATGATACAGGGGAATGTGTTATAAGAAATGTCCTCAATTTTTTTTTTAACATTATGCAACGTTCCCTCGCCAGAAATAACTATGCAAAGAAATAAGGTTTTCCTCTGGGAAGCAATGTAGCTTTAGATCCATTCTCTGGCTGTGTATGTGCATTCATGGATAACCTATTCAGGGAATCAATACAGTCCCAATGTTGGCTTGAGGCTACAAAGGAATATAGTCCCAATGTTTGGCTTGGGGGCTGAAAAGGGACCAATCATCAATGACATTAAGCACTATTACAAAGTAGAGACAAACTTACCCTTTTAATTCCCTAACTTGGGCTGGAGAGATGGCTCAGTGATTAAGAACATTAACTACTCTTCCAAAGGGCTTGAGTTCAGTTCCCAGCACACACATGAGGCACCATCATTTGTAATTCCAGTTCCAGAGGATCTGATATCTCTGGCCTCCTCCAAAAGTACCTGTGTGTGCGCATGCACACACATGCACAGGCATTCATAATTTAATAAAAAATAAACTTTTAAATTACTAACCCAAGCACAGTTTCCAAACACTTTTGCAGGAAATCAGACACAGTTTGCAGGTCTAAGATTTGAGAGTGATGAGTACATATGGAAAAAATTCAAAGAAGTCTGTGTTCTTTCCCTCCTGTTCTGATTTACATCTAAACAGAAAGTGTTAATACACAATGTGGCCTCAGGAAAACCTGGACACACTTCTCTACAATTTCACCCCCATCGGGAATTGTGGCTCTTTATCAAGTAGTGGGAAGAGCCCAGGTTGGGTTATGACCCTATTTTCTCAGAAGAACTGCTGGCCCAGTAAGATCAAATCATTTTAGGGTGAAATCATACAAAACTATATCCCAGCTTAACATCAACATTGGGAAAAAGAAAAGGCAAATTGGGCATGGTCCACCTTGAGCTCCTCCAGTTCCTCTTTCCTGTACCTGGCTTACTGATGCCCCTCTAGACCCTCCCTTTACTCAGTTCACATAACTCTGGATCTAGAGTACTGTCTACCTTCTTATAAAGACTGAGAGCTGCCAAAGGCTAAGCTCTCACCGGGATGTACTCGTGGACGGAAGGTCTGTGCAGCCACCATGCTGTAGACCTCCATCTTCAATGCTCAGTTCTCTCTCACCCCACCCCTTGCCCCGCCTTGCCTTTCTTCCTGGTCTCTTATGTATCACCTCAGTCCCACACCTGCTGTGCTTAAACGTCCATCTTTCTACATACTATGTCACTCTTCATAAATCTTACCGATCGTAAATCTTCATTTTTCAGTTCGTTCTTCTTTTTCATCCCTTCTCCCTCTGCCTTTGTTCACATCCTTCTCATTTCTCCAGCTTCTCCTAACTAGGTTTGTTTCCAACGCTAGTTATCAGTTTTCTCATAGTGCCCTCCTGATTCTTCCCCGATGTCAAAAGGAGCCTCTTTCCTGCTAGTCAGCTCCCTAAAGTCTAATTTCCTTCCAGGGAAACAAATCCTTATCATATTTATATAGCAAATAGCTGCCTCCAGCTTTCCCTCTGCTAATCTGGTGGTCTTGACCACATGCCATGAAATGGGGAGTCCTATTTTAGTATTTGCCATCCTTAACGCTTCTCCATTTCTGTAAGACTCGATGTAGGTTGCCTCACTCTTTACTGCTGCCCCTGTACCATCCACCAGCTAACTTCTGTCCACCACAGCCCATGTGGCTCCTCTTACATCAGTTTACCCCTAGGACTGCCTCCTTCCTACCTCTCCTGATCTCATCCCACAGTCTGTGCCAGGCTCCTTTGCTGGGTCTCTCCCTGCCCCATGCTTCTCTCTAATCACCAATCATACTAAATTATAGTATTTGTACTTACAAGTCTATATCTACCATGGCACGATGAACTGGAAGAGTAAGGAGAACACTTTTTTCCCCACACCCCCAGTACCTAACAGAAAGGGATGCCAAGTTGTGTAGAAGCTTGAATGAGTAAACTAGACAATAGCATTTAACTTTGCAAACCAGTGCATCCTTGCTATGATGAATTCATTCAGAACTGGCTTTCATCAACAGATTTTAAGAAGCCAATTCACAATAAACATTGGGAATTTTAGCTAATGGATGTTTGCAGGAACTTTAGAAGTGGGTAACAGTACACAATACTCAAGATCAATTTAAAACCCATTCAGTAGCAGCATTTCTTTCTGGTAGTCATTGTGTCAAAGCAGCTGCTATAGTCTACCTACTGACTTTGGCCCCAAAACTCCCCACCTGGTTAGCCCTAGCCCGGCACCAGAGGTCAGTTCTCTTCCTTCCGTCCATTCCTCCCTTGAATTGCCTCAGATCTGCCCTCTATTACACAGAATAGAATCGGTTTTCTGATGCTAAAGCTGCAGTTAGAGTGTGGGAGGAAAAAAGGGGCAAATTCACACCTGGCACTCACTCAAGTAGGTCTTCACTCTGTTGACTATGCCTTGAAGGGTTAAAGTAACAACAGCCCAAGCCCACCCTGCAGGTAAATATATAGCATTTACTATTTGCTATTTGCACATCGAAACTGCATCTTTCCAATTGAATCTGTGAACATGTAATTTTAGCCAGCTTCCATGGAGCTGAACACATGAAAAACTTGACTTGAAAACATGAAACAACTCAAAAATTTGAGTTATTTTTATTTCATTAGAATCTACATATGCATAGGCTACCTTGAAGAATGCATGCTGGAAACTAAGTCATGGCTTTTTTGGTTCTTTGGCAAATTTTTTGTATGTGTATATGTGTGTGGCATTCATGTATGCACGAGCACACATGCATATGTGTTGTGTGTGTGTGTGTGTGTGTGTGTGTGTGTGTGTGCATTCACACACCCATGTGAACACATGAACGTATGCATGTATGTAGAGGCCAGACATTGGTACCAGATGTCTTACCAGTCACTCTCCACCTTATAGATCCAGTCAGTGCCTCTCACTTGAACCCAGAGCTTGTAAATTTGGCTCCTGTAGTCAGCTAGCTTTCTCTAAAGATCTCTTATGACTGCCCTGAAAAATAAGGTTTCAGGGAGGCTGCTCCATCAGCCTTTATGTGGGCACTGAGGATTCAAACACTGGCCCTCACATTTGTGTGGCAAGTATCCCACCCACTGTATATCTCCTCAGTCTTCCTTGGTGAATTCTAATATATCCCTCAAGGACAGAGAGATGAGCTCCAAAGGAGCCGATTAAACCTTGGTGCTTCATCTCCTGCATCAACAAGTCCATGTGCTGTTGAAGTCTGAACTCTAAATGATTGTTTGAAGCTGTCAGCGGAGAAACCTAGGCCTCAGTGTGTGCTCTGTCTAGCATTGAGGGATAACAAGATGGACAGCTTTCTTCTTGGAAATCAGTTGCTCTTTTGAATGCCTGTACGCTTGAGGCCCTTTGAAATCTATCTAGACTGTTTCCTTTCTTCAGTGTGCTGCTGAATAAATTGTATTTGAATGTCCTGAGCATTTTTTTTTTCTTCTAAAAATGTCAGAGACTTACTTTTTACAGAGTAGCTTGCACGGCAGACATGCTCAGTCAGAAGCTGTTGACTGTAGGGAGCCTAATAGAAGGGGCATTGTGAAAGCCCCCAAGAGAAGGCATGAGGTCTGTGAGAGCACAGCCACCTTCAGGAGACTCTCCCTTCTGCCATCAGGTTCTCCACATCTGTGAGCGCCTCAGGGGCTGGAGAGATGGATCAGTGGCTAAGAACACTGGCTGTTCTTTGCAAAAAGGATCTGAGGTCAGTTCCCAGCATCTACATGGTGCCTCACGGTCATCTGTATCTCCAGTTCCAAGGGAATCAGTGCCTGCTCCTGCCCTCTTTGGGTATAGTGTATATGATACACATGCATATATACAAAACACACTCACATAAAATTAAAAGTACATAAATCCAAAAACATTATTTTTAAAAGAATAATTAAGGACAGACTTTGAACTGTGGCTATTTCTGAACATATTTTATCCTTTATGCTGAAGACTCAACATCATGAAACAATGAATCTTATGGTCAACTGTACTCTCTGTAGCTGTCTAGACTGCCTAATGTAATATCTTCTGGAGATATGTTACCCATATTAGTTTGCTATTCATAGATACATGTTGACAAATAAAACTGAAGACCCCTGCCTCAGTCCAAATAATTTTGCATTAAAGCAGGCAAAAGGGTGGATGGACCATCCAGTCATAACAAAGTAAGAAAAGTAACACATCAAAGAAAAGATGATCATGGTGTCATAAGGGTTATGAGGGAAATAAAAAGGTATGTGTGCTGGAAACTGAGTCAGAATCCCCTTGGAAGAAGCTAGAATAAGACAGTAAATGTCAAGCAAGCTGCAGGGACAGAGGAATCCACACAGAGGACTGAGCAAATAAGATGCAAAACCTCTGGCGTCTGAAGCAGGTGCCATCCAGGGGAAGTGTGAATCCTAGTGACAGGGAAGACCTGAGCTTGAAGCATTTGGGGATAGGAAAGGGTGTGGCCAGAGGACCGTGCATGAGGGCCACTGTGGTGCTAGGGAGGCTAGGGGAGGAGAAATAGAGACCATGACAAGAAATAGTGACCACAGAGGCCATGGTATGAAGGGAATGCTATAAAAAAAAAAAAAAAATAGGAGTCCTGGCTTTTTAGAATCTAGGGCCTATGCTGGGACACTTTGCTCAGCCTTGGTGCAGGGAGGAGGGGACTGGACCTGCCTCAACTGAATCTGCCAAGCTGGGCTGACTCCCCAGGGGAGACCTTGCCTTGGAGGAGTCTGTGGCTGATATGTAAAATTAAATTAATTATAAAATAAAAATATTTTTATGAAAAAATAAGAGTCATGTGTTTCCTAACACATATGAAATAAGCAGGGAGTGCTGAGAAGATTCCAAAGGTGTAGAGACAGCCGAGACTTAGAGCAGAGCTAGCCCAGCAGCAGCAGCAGGCCCCTGTAATCCAGCCCGAGGGAGGAGGAGCTCAAGGCTGCTCTCCACTGCATAGTGAATCCAAGGCCCGGAGACTTAAAAAGCTTAAAGGCTGTGACATGGCTAAGGGTGCAGCTCCAGAGTAGCCCAGGTGGCCAGCATGGCCGACCCTGAGTTCAGTCCCCAGAACGGCAAAAGACAAGACGCTAGTACAGAAGTACATGAAAGGCTGTGGCCTGGGAGACAGCAGTGAAGACGAGAACTTCGTCGGATCTGCGGCGCTCAGGGCCGGGAGTAAAGGGGTTGGGATACCTTAGGAGAATTCCGTTCGTGTGTTTTGCCTGAGGAAATTAATCTGTGGGCAAGCTTGGAGCTACATATCCTGTAGAAGGAACATCCAGAGTCCCAATGTTAATGCTTTGAGCTTTTGACATGTAAATAGATAGCTAAATGACAGTGTCACATGGAGGGTTGGATTCGTAAGTCTGAAGCCCACGGGAGAATTGGTATAAAATAGGCCTTGGGGAGCCTTCTGCATAGGTGAGCAAGGGAGATCGTCAAGGAGTTTGGGAGGGAAGAGGATGTGGGGGTGGGGCAGGAGAAGAATGCAGAAGAGAGGAGAGATCCTGGGGCTCGAAGACACTCCAGTGTTTTAAGAGACAGTTGAAGAATCTTGAGAAACCAGGAAGTCAGGCCAGAAAGTATTGGGAAAAAAAAAAAAAAAAAAAAAGACATGCATAGCCCCTGGTACAAGAGGGAAGTAGAAATTCTAACTGACTGAACCGGATAATTCCGGTAAATGCCTGATTGGGCTTCCTTCCACACAACCCAGGTGAAGAGTGTCCGTTTCAAATGCCCACATTTTCTTCTAGCTTTCCCGCATTAAATTACAGCCAGAACAAAGGCCAAGCCTCAGAAACTTCCCACGGCTAGTGGTGTGGCATTCAAAAGCAAAGCCAGAGGGAAAGCAAGTCCAGGCTTGGTGACTTGTTTCATCTCCAAAGCAAAGGCCGTGCGTGCATGTTTGTCTCTTCCACAGTGAGACTGCTTTCACCACAGATAAGGAAGGGCTAGCGGGCTTGTGGAGGGAGCTGTCCCGTTTCACAAGGCATGTATTTTATCCTCACAATAAAACCTCACTGTGTCATTTCTGCCAGGAGTTTGGGTGACACCTCGACACATCATCATCAATTCTACAACCGTGGAATTATATTGGAATCCTCCAGAAAAGCCCAACGGCCTCATTTCTCAATATCAGCTGAGGCGTAATGGAAGTTTGCTTCTCGTGGGCAGCAGTGATGAACAGAATTTCACTGATAAAAACCTGGAACCCAACAGCAGGTGAGAGAGGGAAACTTGGCCAACCACACTGTAAGCTTTCTCAGTTGTTCAAGGCTGAGACAGAATATCTCCCGTTAAAATGTTATCCCATTATTGAATTAATCTCCTTATTCATTAGCCATGCTGTCATGGATAAAAGTGCCAAATAGCTGTTAGTTTTCAGCCTACATGAAATCCTTTTAACATACAGATAATTCGTCCTCTATTTGATAAAAAAGTCATGAGAAATTTAAATATATAAAATACAATGTCCAACTTCAAAAATTACCCAATGGTATTTAAAAGTTATGTTCCAAAGTTAGCAACTAAAGAGATTAGGAGAATCGTGTTGCCATCACCTACCACTTCTTGTCTCCCCTCCACTCGCCACCCTGCAATGCTCTGTCTACAGGAGTCATCTTAGCCACCCATTTGCAATTCATTCCCATTCATTTCTCAGCAGACACAAGATAAACCCTACATCAACAGATGTTTCAGTGCAGAGAATAGAGAATAATTTAGTTTTATTGGGGAAGATAACAGATCAATTTAAATATCTCTGCTTCTAAATGAATCTCCCTGAAATTCAAACCATTTAGACATGGAAAAGACTAAATTGAATTTTCACAGCCCAGTAGCACACCCCAAGATGTTCTTGAAATTCTCTGGAAAAGCCATGAATGACTACAGGGTTCAACATGGCGTTGGGAGACCGCTCTAGAGAGCAGCGTGGTCAATGCTCTACGCCACCACCAAGCTCATGATAGCATTCCTCATAGGAAAGAATTCAAATATTGTCACAAATTTAGGGCCAAACAACAGGTTGGGAAGCCAGCAAACATTGTCCCAGTCTCTTAACGACTGGCTGATAACAGCTTTTGTGTCTTCAGGTACGTTTACAAGTTAGAAGCAAAAACGGGAGGGGGCAGCAGCGTGAGCGAGGAGTACGTTGTCCAGACGCCCGTGTGGACCCCGGAAGATGTCCGTCCCCCATGTAATGTCACCGCACTGGGCTCTGATTCCATATTTGTAGCATGGCCAACGCCAGGTAAAGAAAAAAAAATGGAATAATTTCCCTCTCTCTCTCTCTCTCTCTCTCTCTCTCTCTCTCTCTCTCTCTCTCTCTCATAGTTTAATGGAAACAGGCTGAAAATGTGCCTTCACAGTAAATCACAGCTTCCTCACAGATAAATATGAATGGAGCAGTCAAAATACACACCTACACATGTAAGTCTACATGTGTATGATTGTCTACATATATATATATCTATTAGTTACACCTCTGTTGCTGCAATATTAACACCACAAACAGAAACAACTTAGAAAAGTTTGTTTTAGATTATGGTTCCAATGGAATACATGACAGCAGGCAGGTGGAGCAGGAAGCTGAGAGATCACAAGCAGAGAGTGAACCGGAAGTGGGATATGGCTGTAAACCCTCAAAGCTCACCCCCAGTGTCACACTTCCTCTAGCAAGGCTCCAACTCCTCAAGGCTCCATAACTTCCCCCAAGCACCTCCACCATCTGGGGACCAAGCATTCAAATACTTGAGCCTATGGGGACATTTCTCATTCAAATTATCATAATATGCATTTCTACACGTATGTACATTTACATGCATGTATATCTACCTATATAAATATGTAGACACATCTATCTGCCTCTCTATCAAAGCAGTGTATTTTTGGAATTCAAAATTCTAAAAGCTCTGTCTTTTCACTCATGCATATATATCTGAGGCAAATCAGAGGGTATAACCACTCTGGGCATTCCTTTCCACACGGATCCTGGGTGGGCTCACTGGCCTAGAGTGTTTTTTCTGTATGGTATCAGGGAACTTGGGAAGACATTGGCCTGTTCTAACTATGAGCTTACTGTGTGAATGGTGATAACCACTGGATGTCCCCTCTCTGCTCAGTGACCTCCCTTAGGTTATTTCATCAATGTCAAACTGCTTTGATGATTTAGTGCATTATTACATTCTGATATTAGTATAATCCTTGGGTAGATACTATGGAGATTAAATAAAAAAGCTGGATAGGTCAGTGGGTAGAGTACTTTCCATCCTCATACAAGGACCTGAGGTAAAATTCCCTACACCCATGTAAGAAATCCGGGTGTGATAGCATGGACCTATAATCCCAGAGAGGGAGAGCAGAACGGGACAATCCCTGAGGCGTGCTAACCTGCTCTTCTGTCTGAATCTGAGAACTCCAGGCTCCAGAAAGACTGTTTCAGAAAATAAGTTGGAGAAAGATAGAGAATGGTACCTGCCAGTGATTCCAGCCTCTGTGTGTGTAAGCAGACCACCTCACCTCTCTCTCACACACACATACATGCACATGTACACACATGCACAGAGAAAAGGGAGAGCAAGGGAGAGAGACTGAAATCATCCCTATCTTTCGACATAAAGTACAGGTGATTAAGTAAAATTTAAACCTGATTATAGGCTTAAAATTCACTTTCAAAATATTTGATTTTATTTTTTCTTTCAGTACTACAGAGAGAACTTGGGACTTTGCACACACTATATAAGAAACTACCATCTAGCACTAGGCTACATACGCTGACCATAAATGTTCTGGGGTTCTAAAATAGAACCTCCAGCTTTACACATGCCAAGTATGAACTCCACCATGGGGCCCTCAGCCTAAGATCTTGTTTGCAATCCCCACTCTTAAATTGAAATTGAAACAAACTCCATTAGCCTAAGTTCAATCACAAGTCAGTCCAGTGTTAAACATAGCTATTCTGGCCATTGGCAAACCTGTTTCTTAAAATAATCAAGGACATGCCTGTCACTGAATTACATAATCATCACGGACTTAAAACACCATCTTCTGGGCATGATACAAACATGGGTGTCATGAACTTAACCACAGCTGTGATTTCCTGCACCGAGCCTGCACAAGGCTGGGCCTGTCGACAGACAATCATGGATGGGGTGGGGTGTGGGGGGCTCTACCCCTCCCTGGAGATTTATGGCTGTTGATGGGTGCTGTGAAGGGGGAGCCATTGTCCTGGGTTGTGTAGCCACCAGAAAGCCCTCTGGCTCCAATGGGTAGTCTAGCCCATTGTGACAGATGGCCCTGCTTAAGTTCAATGAGTCACAAAACAGAACGAGAAGACATGGACATGGGGAAGGAACCTCTATGGAGGAAAGGGAATTAACAGCAGTGAGAGGGGTCAAGAGAGTGAAAAGTGAGAATGTCCAGAGCTCATTATATACGTTTATGAAATTGTCAAAAATCTAATTAATAATATATACACATAACACCTGATTGGTTTGTAGAACAGACATCATGGAGATCTACAAACTAACCAATATCACTTGTCTCAAAAATTTTCTTTTTGGAAAACATCTCTTTGTTAACATGTAATCTGAATCACCATGCAGTGAGTTTAGCACTGCTATTCTTTATATCAATGAATGTTGCCGGGCGGTGGTGGCGCACGCCTTTAATCCCAGCACTTGGGAGGCAGAGGCAGGTGGATCTCTGTGAGTTCAAGGCCAACCTGGGCTACCAAGTGAGTGATCTTTTAAATTTAACTCTTAATAGCCTCAACACAATCATTTTAATAACTCTTTTATATTTATTTTCTGGGCCCAGGAAATGGTTCGTCAGGTAAAGACACCAACCTAGCTGTGCAAGCCTAATGGCTGGAGTCTTATCCCCCAAGCCTACACAAGAAGCCTGGTGCCATGTGCACACCTATAATTCTAGCACTCCCATGCAAGATGGGAGGCAGGGGCAGGAGAGTTGGGAGAAACCTCAGAGTCCACCTGTCTCAGAACCCTCCATATAACAGAATCAAGAAAGCCCTGCCTAGACCAAGTGGGAAGATGTCTCCTGACCTCCATGAGCACACCGTGACACGTGCATGCACACACACATACATACAAACACACTTACCTTTAAAATGTATTTTCTCTCAGCGTTTCCTCAGAGCTAATAGCTTCATTTTCAAAATGCCAAAAGCACTTGGTACAGTACAGTATTAAAAATTTTTCAAGACGTTTCTCAAATTTCCTAGCACTGTGTCATTTTCTTCTTTGAATTCACCATCACCTTTTTATGTTGGATATATAATACTTTCAATAAGGAAAGTCCCACTATGGAATAAAAGATAACCCTTGCTTATAAAATGTAACAGTAACTCTTTCCTATCTCAAGCTTGGTCGAAATTTTCAGTCCAGACTAAAGGAAAATGAAGAATTACATGCTAACTTTATTTAACCAATTGTTAGCAAATCTATTATTTCCAGACCTGTCAATATTGTAGATGCATGAAATCCATTACAGAAACAATGTCATATATAGAAGGATTAAAATCTTAAACATCATTTTCCTGGTGCCTGGAAGGATTCCAAACTCAGGAAATCAGGTGACTGTGCCCTGTGCAAGGTGCGCAGTTGGTTCTATCAGAAAGTGTCTCTTGATTGGGATCATTTTTTTTCTGTACTGAGTAGCCACAAGTGTATGTGTTAAGCAGAAGAGAAGCAAACTTGTTTTGAGCAAAGCTGTTTACAGAATTTTCTAGATCTTCTCCCATATTCTGAAGTTCAGAATTACTGCACCATAGACATAGGAAGTCAAAGAATCCACATCTGTAGTTTCTAACCGTGGACAGACTTTAGAATTCCTGGTGATCTTATTCGAAAGCAAATCCTCAGACTAAGAGGTGTCTCAGTTGGAAGCTTGCAGAAAGCTCTGGGTCCATATCTAAGTATCCCGGACATGGTGTACACTGTGCTTGTAGCACTCTGGAGGAAGAGGAAGGAGGATCAGAAGTTTAGTCCTCTTCAGCTATACAGGAAGTAGGAAATCTGCTTGGGCTACACGAAACTCCATCCAAAAAGAAAAACACAAATCTTCCACTCAAGGCTCATGGAAAAAGATTCTCTTGAGGTACAGGCAAGAGATGTTTGTTTGTTTGTTTGTTTGTTTGTTTGTTTGTTTGTTTGTTTGTTTGTTTGTTTGTTTTTAAGAGCTCTCTACATGACTCAAATGCACCACCAAAGTTTAGACTCTCTCATACCAAACCAAAGTGGTCAGCAACACTACTTCCTGAAGAGAGAAGTTAGTGGTTTTCTCTTGAACATACAAAGCCAAAATATTGATGGAATTAGTTGATTTCTTTTCATGTGCATTTTGTGGGGATCAATATAGACAGAGTAACCTCAGGCAGGTAAGTTGCTGGGAGCAAATAGTCCATGTGGTTGCTTGGCAACACAAGAATTACCTAGGTAATTAACTGTATTTCAGGTTTTCAAATTATGTTTCCAATGCTATCGATAAACTACATCTTAGATCGTGCCAATAAATCTGCTGGTAAAAGGAGTGAGGACACCCAGGGGAAGGGTAACTGTGATGGTGAGAGCTGATATCATGGATGCACACTTCTTAAATCCTACTATGTGCCAAACACTCCCAGGCTCCAGTTATTTCTTATGCAGACATTAAGAGGTAATTTCCCGTACTAAGAATTTGAATTGTGGAATAATAGTATCATATGCTCAAGGTCACCAGGCATTGCCAGGATTCAAATGTGAATCTGTTCAATTGCTGTCTTTAACAAGTAATTCCTTCCTGCCTTTGGTTTAACTCCCCAATCCAAAGCTTTGCATTTTTCACTGGAAGTCTTACAAATGCATGAGATATGCAGTCTGCTTTATGAAGTGGTAGCCAAGGGGTCCAGGGGATAGGGATACTGTTGTTTAAAACCAAATGATTCTGGAAGGAGGGTGTTTGGTCAGGCAAGTCAAGAGCGGGAGAATTAATTGGGAAATGGTGAGCGCTGTAAGGGCAAAGAGTCACCAAACTAACGTGTATGGATGAATCAGAAGACTCGGCCTACCCAGCCAGAGTCCAGAAAGAATCGTCCAGACTCAGCAAGTAAGAGCAAGTGAGAACAGGGGAGGTTGAGAAATGTCTCCACTACCCATGAAGAGATTATTCTAAGACTGGTTTACAGCCTTGTTCAATATTCTCTGTCCTAGGTAAAGCTGGGTCCATTTATCCCCTATTTAACTGATAAATGTC